AAGAGACAGTCGGAAAGGGAAAAAGAAATTAGCCATTAATACCCATATATCAATGTATTTCAGTTTTTCTTGAGCAAATGAAACTAAATTCTTCACATCCTCTCCACTCTTCACGTCACATTTAGTGCCCTGCAGGAAACAAAACGTGAAAATGCCAGCTGTGGGCTTACCATGAATGGATTACTGCTAATGAATAAGTTCAAGAGGAGGTACCCACACATGATGCTCCCCAAATTCTTCTCTCAGGCTCTGGACAGAAGTCTCTACCCTTTCACCTATTAAATGAAGACCGATATAGACAGAAAGTCAAAGGCAAAGAAACTTGATAAATAAACTTGTAGAATTCCATCCATTCAATAATCGGTTATAAACTAAATTCAGGTTTCAAGTGAAAGAACAAATACAAGAGACATGAACTGAGAACAAATACAAGAGTTCGATTCCTGGGAGTAACACTTGTTGGGAGGGACAGTCACACACCCCAAAAGGGTTAGTTCCTTACCCAAAAGGTGGGGGGATACCCTTGGTAGTACCCCAAAAAATACAAGAGACATGGACTGAGAATAAAAGAAAGGAAACAATGTCCACATATGACTATCTGACAACAAATAAATATTAAAAATGAGTCCAATAGAATAAATAGTTTGCATTCCTGTTCTAATACCAATAACTAAAAACAAAAATTAAAAGTTAAAACAAGTCTAGAAGAAATTTTCAACATCAAAATCACATCAAGTCCTAAGGAAAATAATAAATGTCATATGGCTAAGTTTTTGGAGACAATTCTCAAGAACTTCAGCAGGGAAAGCTATGATTTCCAAGAAAAATGACCCTTTCAAAAAGTCCTTTACATTTTTTAACAGCAGCAGCAAACCATCGTAAGGTTGTTGCTTTGTGATGTGACCTCAAGTTCAAATATTGGAAAAAGCCTTTCCTTTTGCATGGGGTAAGGCTACATACAATTACATCCCCATATCTAAAGTCCTCACCAGATGGGAGCTTTGTGCTTGGGCTGCCTTTTTTATCAGCAAGCCAATGCTAAGAAGGATGCTAACAAACTAAAAGGGTTTTTTCAACCTTCTTTGCAAACAGAATTGAAAGATAGAGGGAAAGTAAGCAGAAAAGGTGGTCATTGATGAATCAATTACGTATAAAAGAGTTACATAGATATGGTATTCAAATTTGAATGATATTGAGCATTTGTAAATCATGAAATAAGCAAAGCTGTAGTTGAAACATCAAGAGTTGCTCCTCACGTGATCTTGAGCAAATTAGGACATTGTCACCAGCTTTTAGAAACTCTCTTGCCAATGCATACCCTATCCCTGAATCATACAGAAAACATAACATGCCAACGGAGAATAAGTTAGTACAAATTGGAATTCTTATTTTTTTAATCATATATATATAGTGTGTGTGAGAGAGAGTGCAAATGTGTGGGTGACAATCACATACTACTTAAGTAAATCTATTATTCATTTTCAACATCATTATTAAAGTGCTGGAGCTTAATTTGAAACTCGAAATGTAAGTTCAAATCTCAGGTTGAATAGAAATTGCTTCAATTGAGAAAGAGAGAAGTCTCCCATATTATTCAAGCCAAAACCAAGAATTCTCAAATGCTCCCTCTCCCTTTAGCATACCATTTTATCCAGATGACAATAATAACAATAAATAGGAAGCCATAAACTTTTTCCAATGAATGTCAAGGCCATGTATTTTTAAAATATATTTATATACCATAAGTCCCTTCACCTTTATAAAGTTTTGTTCTTTTTTTGGTTATTAAAATGGTAGAGATGATAAGTTAGTCTAGTACTACTGATTAAGGCACCAATTACAATTTTAGGATCACAAAGATGGTTCTCAATTAAAACTATATAACAAAGTGGTTCTTAAATTATTCAATTTCATTTAACACTACTTAGACTAAAATACTTTAAACAGAATTCAACCACTGAGTCATACAAATAAACTTAAATTATGGAATAAATTGCGACTGAGCTACATTTTGGAATAACAATATACCATTTAACTCAAAACTATAAAAAAGAATAATAAAAAAGTGACCTTTGGTAGAGCCAGTAATCAGAACGTTGTAGGGAGTATTCATTGGCTCTCTATTGAGAGAAACAATTGGGTTTGTGAAAGAAGCAGAGAAGGCTTTGGGCATGCAGATATTTTGGCGTGACGCAAGGTTTGTGAAAGTGTAAGTGTTGTTGAATTTGTGTGGTGAGAATGGAGAGGGAAAAAGTTGAGAGTAGTTATTGGTAAGGAAGTGAGAATGAGAAGAATGCGATGGAGATGGAAAATGAAATGAGCAAGTTGCAGTGGTTGTGGCAGCCATTGATGGATGGTGGAAAATGGAAGCTGGACACTGATGAGATGAAACAAGCAACAATTGATTCATAATTCTGTGGTTAAACCCACGCGCTCTACTTCTATGTTCCACTTAAAAGCCTTTAACAATGCGTTGGTTTATTAAGATAAGATTCTTAATTCCAAAAAGACCAAAATATCAATAACTCGATTAGTAAGAATCTGAATGATAATTATGATATTGAAATTTTTTACCCATGAAATGAGATGCCAAATATTTTTTTTTGGATAATTTTACTCATATGTTCTCATAGTTCACCATTTAGCAAATGAAATCACTTTTCTGATATTTTTATAAATTGAATCACTTAGGTCACATTTTTCTACTAATTTATTACTTTCTTCCATTCATAATTCATATAGCCCAATGGTGCAGCAAGTATCATGTGTACAATACCCTTGTTGGAATTTAAAAAACTAAAAAATGATTTATAACATTAAATAATATTAAAAGATTCAGAAATTCAGAAAAATATATATAATATTGTGTGAATTATTTAATATGATACATCCCAAGATTCTAAAATTAAAAAAAGTTAATTACTGAAAAGATAAGCAGTAAAGATAATATGTATATTTTGGCTTTAAAACAGATTACAATTACTGAAAACTTATTATTTTGATGTTTTTGTCACTGAAGGATTACAAGGATTACAAGGATTACAAGGATTACAAGGATTACAAGGATTACAAGGATTACATTCACTTAAAAGTCTGGAGTCAAAGTAATTAATGTAGTAAAATCATGTATTTACTATCAAATCACGTTTTCACATATAAAGTGGCATCTTCACATGATAAAATATATTTTTCTTGGGTGATTGGTCATCATAAAAGGGGGACAGGATCACCTATCTCAATTTCCGGTATAAATACAATAGAAAAATGTCACATAATTAAAAATAAAATTTCTAAACATATAAAATAACATTTTTATATTACTTGAAGAAAATTGATTGAGTAGGAACATAACATAATGATTTTGATACACATTATCCTTGTTCATGAAGGGGATGATAAATCATCATAAACATGTATTTGCCCCCGACTTTGATGAATGTTTTGATGATGAAAAATATGCTTCACATAAATCATGATATATATATATATATATATATATATATATATATATATATATATATATATATATATATATATTATTGATGAAATATATGGGTGTTGTCACGACCCGATTTTCGGTTGGAAGACCAGCCATGCGGCTTAGGGAAATGAGAACTCGATTTCTTCCTCTTCCAATTGATTTGGAGTTGCCACTACGTTTTTTGTGGATAAAACGTAGAAAACTCTCTAATGAGCCCAATTAGGATAATTTGGTCTTTGAACAAAGATTTTGAGCTTGAACGTCGATTAAGGATCGGGGAATGTATTAGCACCTCGTCTTCTCGTATTAAAACGGTACTCTCGCTAATAACATGGACTTTTATACCCTTATAATTATTTATTGAAATTCAGTAAATAAAAATAAAATATTTTATTTTTTTATTGTTGTGTCTGACAAGAGTTCATCTTGCTCTTACGTATCCCTATGTGCAATAGGGAAATCAAGGCTACGTAGTTCTGGTTCGAAAATTAATTGGTTGGTTTCGTTGATTTTGAATGTATCGATTTGGTTGAGTAATAAAATATTTTTTTACTAAAACATTTTGATATGGAATTAATAGTTTAGAATGAGCACTGGTCGTAGACCTCCTTCCCATTCATTTTCAGAGAATTTAGAGACAACACGGGCCATAATCTTACTATAAAAATTCTCTTTAAAATCACTTGAATAAATAATGATTATTTTTGAAATATTTGACATGAAATTAATAGTTTAGAGACGACATTGGTCGTAGACCTCCTTCCCATTTTCAGAGAATTTAGAGACAACACGGACCATAATCTTACTATAAAAATTCCATTTAAAATCGCTTGAATAAATAATGATTATTTTTAAAATATTTGACATGAAATTAATAGTTTAGAGACGGTATTAGTCGTAGACCTCCTACACATTTTCAGAGAATTTAGAGACAATACGAGCCATAACCTTGCTATAAATTCCGTTTAAAATCACTTGAATAAATAATGATTATTTTTAAAATATTTGATATGAAATTAATAGTTTAGAGACGGCACTGGTCGTAGACCTCATCCCATTTTCAGAGAATTTAGAGACAACACGGAACATAACCTTACTATAAAAATCCATTTAAAATCATTTGAATAATATTATTAATGACGCATTAGGATTTCTATTAATATAATAAATATAACTTTCAAAATTATAATTTATTGTAAACATAAAAGCTTAAAATCATTAATTTAAATCACGCGAGGTAATTATTCATAAAGTATAAGGGTAGATAAAAAGGGGTTAGTAAATAGAAAAGGTATGAAATTTAACAATAAAATGAAGTATACACTTCTTAAAATGTTGTATTCCTAATTATAAAATAAAAGATGGTAAATAATACAAAAAAACAAAAAGGATATGTGGGCCGAAAGCCCATAAAGATGAATCAGGTTAGGAGGGGGTTTCTCTTGTTTCTCCTCATTTGGGGATTGTAGGAGTTAGAGAGAATAGATGAGAAGGAGAGGAAAGTGAGAAGAGGGGAAAAACGGCAGAAGGTGAGAAGACGACGGCGAATGGCGGCGATGGCGGATCATAACGAAAAACACGGCGGCGACTCGGTATCTTCTTCGACTCTTCGAAAGGGATCTCGAATCCCTAACACACAATCTTTCGTTTCCTCGGTCTCCGGCAATGGTAGTGACGACGGCGGGGTTGGTTCGTGTGGTAGCCTGAGGCGGTTATAGTAGTTGGAGGCCGGCAATAACACTGAATTTAGGTAATGACCCCAAAAATTTTCTATGTTTCATTTGTTGGTCTTTTACAGCTTTGGTTAACAAATTGCATATGATAATTAGCTTGAATGGTAATAAATTCTAGTCAATTGGTTTTAGGACTGCCAACATGCATAACTTGTTTTCATTCAGCCCAAATACTTATGTGCATTTCTATGAACTCAATATAATCGGATAGGTACGCTTTCCTACATAGCTCACAGTAAGAAGGAAAATACACGTTTATAGGATATAAGATGCCATTAAAATTTATACTATGGATATATGGTGCACAAAACGCTTTTATGTTTGTAACACATGATAAACGCCTTACCCAAGACTTACCTTCTAGATGCCTGTCTCGGATTTACTTTCCCCTCCTAGTTCGATTCCCTGCTTGATCCTTATCTGTATATGTGGATGATGTGTGTATGATTGCCGGAAAAAAACCCTTCTAATGTGTATGTGTGTTGCTGGAATGATATGAATATGGATGCCTTCTGTCTTTTGTGTGATACTGTTTCTTTTCGGGATTATTATGCACGTGGGGTAGTGAAAGTAAGGATTCTTTGGAAGTGGGTTATTAGTGTGGGGTGCTGCTGGAATGATGTAGACAAGTATTAGGTCTTTTAGTATCTGTAGATAATGAAAGTAAGAAGTCTCTTATGAATGCTTGGTTGCCAACGTGTATATGATCAAAAGTCAGTCCCCTTTGTATGTAGTATGATGGCTATTTATAAAGAGTCCTGAAGGAACCCTTTGGCTTGCCAATTGGACTTAGCAAACAGCCCATAACCTTTCTGATCATTTTCCATTTAAGACCCACCATAACTGGTGCCATTTATGCTTGATTGTAACTGAACTTAGCACTTAAAATCCATGATGTGCATTCTATTTTGTTTTGTATTCCCTTGATGATGTTGTCTTTGTGGTCCATGACTGGTCACTGATATAACTCTTTGATGCTTGGTCTTCTTGGTTGCTCTATCCTTCTAACATTGATTATCATATTGATATATTTCATCAATGCTGCTGCATTCCAGGTTGATGGTGCAACTTGATTACATATATAAAAGATGAGAGAGCCGTGATAAATCAGTGGGGCCACTTGAGATATCTGTGGTGGGATCAGGAACTTTTGAGGCATTGATGGACTTGCTTATTATCCAAGGTGCTTCAGTCAATCAATATGAGACGCCTAAGGTGTATTGAGTCAAAGAAAGCATCTCAGCTTCTCAAGTCCAAAGCTACAGCAACCCTGTTTTATTCCCAGAGATCCCAAACGGATGGGTCCATAAAATGTTTCTATTAACGAACTTGTAGTGTTAAAGTTCCATAAGACTTGACAAGAGCCCGAATGGCATGTAGAATTGCAAGTCTTGTTTAGCTAAATATGATTGTGCACATTGTGTTATAATGCTCTATATCGTTAAGTGCTGCAGATTGTAGCATATGATGCCTACACAATAAATTGATAAGTTGCTTTAGTGATGTAGCTGAGGTACTATAGAATCCACCTTTTTTTTTTAAATAACAAATACATTTTTAAAACCAACATAGGCGAAGACATGTGAGAATTCATGAGAATGCAACCATCAATTGGGATTTGAATGCCACGAGATATATAAGTTGATAGAATTCAATCTAAAACGTTCATACTTATAACTTGTATTTTTATTTGATTTGACAATTAGGCCGGACAAAATTGAGTGTTCACAGGTGTTATATTGTGTTATTGAATTACCTATGATTTTGAAATATAAGGTATGATTTGCATAGATTTGGTATATTGTGACTGCTTCATCTGTTATTACACCATCCTATCCAGCAATGTTTTGTGAACACTGGTACATTGTTTCAGCTGTATATATCATTTGTTTACATTATATACAAAATTATCAATGTTGTTATTCATCCCTTTTTGTGTCATGGTTCCCAATTCCAACAATGTGACGCATGTGTTGGAATAACAATGCTCTTTAAAAATACAAGGTATTTTTTAGATAATTTAAAATGACTTTGTAATAGACAAGGAAAAAATTCAGAAAGTGATCTCAGTATTATTTTTTAAAATAAAATTGGATATTTTGTGTGTATGTAAAATGAAGAATTTGAAATAACAAAATCTTTTATAACTTATAAGTATCAACTGTATCATATTGTACACAACCACAAGCCACTGCATCTAAATTTGAAAACATCCCAAGGAAACAGTCAAATTTGTGAAACAAAAAATGTATTGGGTATGCAATCATGCAATGTTATGCAGTTCAAGGACAGCAGAACCACGACCAACAAAAAATAGGTTGTTGATAACCATAGTTGGATACAAATTACATCACATATCATTATGTATTAGAGATGAAATGACACAAAAACTTGAAGCAACTAGCATGGTTTATTGAAATGTATTAGAGAGGAAACATCTTTTTGTTGTGATTTTGAGTGAATAAACCTCTGCATTTCATTGATTAACTTGGGTGTAACCCCTTCTTATACATAGAAAAGAAAGGTTGCTCGAATAATAAGCAACCAATAAAACTAACTATTAAACACAAACAAAATCTTAACTAACCTAACTATCTTCTCCTAAGATAAAGCAAAAAATAATAAAACAGAAAAAGACCATGAAAATATCTAAAACATAAAGATATGCACTAATATTCTACCCTATATGTTGATCTTTAGCTGTTGCAGCAGGTGGCACAGCTGCTAACTCCAAATCCACATTGATAGGAGCAATAGGCAAAGAAGTTGCCATATGAAAACAATAACCTATCACCACTACCAGTATCACCAACATGACAACAAAAGGAATTAATGTGAAGTAACGGTGGAAGTTTGTGCCTGAATTTGTGAACTCAGGACCTTCATATGTGAAAGGTAAATCAGTGGTATTCATGAGAAGAAATGTGTTATGTGAATAAGGGAGAAAATGGTTTATGTGGAGAAGTGGTTCGGTAAAGAAAAAAAAGGAGGAAGGAGAAGGGAAATTGAAGGAAAAAAGGAGAAGAAGAAGGGAAATGAAAATGAAAGTATGTGATGAAGGAAAAAAAGGAGAAGAAGAAGGGAAATGAAAAAATGAAAGTATGTGATGAAGGAAAAAAAAAGGAGAAGAAGAAGGGAAATGAAAATGAAAGTATGCGCGTGTAATGAAGCGCCATTCATGTGAAGAAAATGGTTTATGAAAGTTGTGAAAGTTGGTAAGTAGGATATACAGAAAAAGACCATGAAAATATCTAAAACATAAAATTGATCTGCAGATCTATGCCTCAGCGGCCTCGAGCTAAAGATATGCTCTAATATTCTACCCTATATGTTGATCTTTAGCTGCTGCAGCAGGTGGCACAGCTGCTAACTCCAAATCCACATTGATAGGAGCAATAGGCAAAGAAGTTGCCATATGAAAACAATAACGTATCACAAATGACAACAAAAGGAATTAATGTGAAGTAACAGTGGAAGTATGTGCCTGAATTTGTGAATTCAGGACTTTCATATGTGAAAGGTAAATCAGTGGTATTCATGAGAAGAAATGTGTTATGTGAATAAGGGAGAAAATGGTTTATGTGGAGAAGTGGTTCGGTAAAGAAAAAAAAGGAGGAAGGAGAAGGGAAATTGAAGGAAAAAAGGAGAAGAAGAAGGGAAATGAAAATGAAAGTATGTGATGAAGGAAAAAAAAGGAGGAGAAGAAGGGAAATGAAAAAATGGAAGTATGTGATGAAGGAAAAAAAAGGAGAAGAAGAAGGGAAATGAAAATGAAAGTATGTGCGTGTAATGAAGCGTCATTCATGTGAAGAAAATGGTTTATGAAAGTTGTGAAAATTGGTAAGTAGGATATACAGAAAAAGACCATGAAAATATCTAAAACATAAAATTGATCTGCAGATCTATGCCTCAGGGGCCTTGAGCTAAAGATATGCACTAATATTCTACCCTATATGTTGATCTTTAGCTGCTGCAGCAAGTGGCACAGCTGCTAACTCCAAATCCACATTGATAGGAGCAATAGGCAAAGAAGTTGCCATATGAAAACAATAACGTATCACAAATGACAACAAAAGGAATTAATGTGAAGTAACGGTGGAAGTATGTGCCTGAATTTGTGAACTCAGGACCTTCATATGTGAAAGGTAAATCAGTGGTATTCATGAGAAGAAATGTGTTATGTGAATAAGGGAGAAAATGGTTTATGTGGAGAAGTGGTTCGGTAAAGAAAAAAAAGGAGGAAGAGGAAGGGAAATTGAAGGAAAAAAGGAGAAGAAGAAGGGAAATGAAAATGAAAGTATGTGACGAAAGAAAAAAAGGAGAAGAAGAAGGGAAATGAAAAAATGAAAGTATGTGATGAAGGAAAAAAAAAAGGAGAAGAAGAAGGGAAATGAAAATGAAAGTATGTGCGTGTAATGAAGCGCCATTCATGTGAAGAAAATGGTTTATGAAAGTTGTGAAAGTTGGTAAGTAGGATATACAGAAAAAGACCATGAAAATATCTAAAACATAAAATTGATAGTAACGGTGGAAGTATGTGCCTGAATTTGTGAACTCAGGACCTTCATATGTGAAAGGTAAATCAGTGGTATTCATGAGAAGAAATGTGTTATGTAAATAAGGGTGAAAATGGTTTATGTGGAGAAGTGGTTCGGTAAAGAAAAAAAAGGAGGAAGGAGAAGGGAAATTGAAGGAAAAAAAGAGAAGAAGAAGGGAAATGAAAATGAAAGTATGTGATGAAGGAAAAAAAGGAGAAGAAGAAGGGAAATGAAAAAATGGAAGTATGTGATGAAGGAAAAAAAAGAAGAAGAAGGGAAATGAAAATGAAAGTATGGGCGTGTAATGAAGCGCCATTCATGTGAAGAAAATGGTTTATGAAAGTTGTGAAAGTTGGTAAGTAGGATATACAGAAAAGGACCATGAAAATATCTAAAACATAAAATTGATCTGCAGATCTATGCCTCAGGGGCCTTGAGCTAAAGATATGCACTAATATTCTACCCT